AAAACCCCAAAAAGCGCAATAGGGCCTCTTTAGTAAAGAGTTTCATGATCTTTTGGCATCACAGGTTTATATTGCAAAGTAACTAAGTGATCAAATACATGTTGTAGAGTAAAAAGCTACAATATTGGTAAAGGTCTTTTAAAGCACAGCTGGATCGGGGACAACAGTAATGTTACCCTATAGTGGAAGGTAGCAAAAAAAGGAAATACGTGACGTACATTTACCTCCAAAAAGTACTTAGTGATACTTACCAACACTCAGCAGCAGCAGTCTGAAATACACCAACACACTCTCACAACAAATAAAACACATAATCAGCAAAACCATCAGCCCAGGAACCAGATGCTATCTCAGCTCATTACTCCTGGACGGTGCACATGGCTGCTGATGAGCTCTCCTCTGGATACTGGATCACTATTTAAGGAATCCGCCCTGAAGCCCCAGGACCCCACAAACAGGAAGGAACAGAGAGCATATTTTTAACACACAAAAATGACTGAACATGGAGAAATACCCCAAACTGTTTCTCACTAAAGTTTCAGTTATATTGATGATTACTGGATCAGTTCTGGTAATACATCATGAAGCTAACTTTGTTCTACGATACAACAGCAGTGGGCGTTGTGAAACTGAAAAATAAACCAACTCCTCTGTAAATATTGCTGCTGTCTTTGCATTGGATCTTTCAGATACGGAAGAAATGATTATTCATTTTAAAACTTCAATGGGAATTTGTAATCATTTTCCCAACATGCATCCTGTCACCTGGAAATGAAACAGGATTTAAAGAGGCCCTTTTATGCTTTTTGGGGTTTTCCCTTTCCTGTAGTGTGTTCTATAGCTTTGTGTGCATGTGAATGGTCTGCAAAGGCTAAAATCCCTGTGTTTCTCTCTCTCTTGGGTTTAAAACGTACTGAACACATGATCACTTGTCATTATGTACTCTCCACTTCTGCATTTATTGAGCTATAATCGAGAATTCGACATCAGACAATTCAAAAAAGTGATAAAAGCAAAAATAACTACAATTTAACAATGAAAACTGAGAACAGAAGAACATATTCGTGCAGCTATTGGAGACCAGTGGCAGGTATGTGAACCATAGAATGGTATCTCACCCCACACACACACACACACACACACACACACACACACACACACACACACACACACACACACACACACACACACACACACACACACACACACACACACACACACACACACACACACACACACACACACACACACACTCTCTCTAGTCTCCATTGTCTCACTCTCCCCCGCATACTTGTATCAGTGTTTTTCGAGAAATCATGCATTGTTTGACCTGGCCGAACTCTGCTGGGGGGGGGGGTTGTGTTTGAGAGTGTGTGAGAGTGTGTGAGAGTGTTCATGTGCAAAGGGTGGGGGCTGTGTGGTTTTGTAAAGGCCCTGAAACTCTCTCAATACACAGTTATCACTTCACTGTGTCTGAAACTCAGGAAACGAAGGGCGTTACTGTGACTTAGAAAAGGTGACGGCTCAATAAAAGGAAATGGAAATGTGTTGAGTACAAACATAAGGATAATCGGTAACACTTTACAATAAGACTATAAAGGATTCATAAATATATATAATATATTTATAATTAGGTTATTAACTAGGTTGGAAACACTTTATTAATCATTAAGAGCCATTTATAAACCAGTTCTAACATAGTTTCCATACATCAACACAGGCTCACTATTTGGCAAGATGACTAAGCCTTATATTGGCTACCTAGCTTACTTCGTCTTCTTCATCAGCCAGCATCCTTGGTATGTGTTGTTCACTGAGTTGATTCCCCCCCTTCCATCTTGATGTTTCTTGGCATCTCTTATGACCATTTATTTACGAGTTACTAACATTTATAACTGCCAAAAGGGAGCCTTATTGTAAAGTGTAAAACACATCACGTAGTCTCATTGTAAAGTGGTACCGGATCATTTATCACAAACTGTTTGCTTTCGTGTCAACCTCACACAAGTGATGGTTAAAGAATCATCCACAGAGACGAACAAGATAGTTTGAGATAACAGATAGGATTCAACCTTCTGAATATGATCTCATTTTCATTATTTTGTTCATCAAATGAAAGTGGGAAACGTTTCACTTTTACACACACATTGTGCACCAAACTGAGAATACTGTAGGGAATCCGGCTTGATGCTCTCTGTGTGGCCTCTGTTCCCCTGCAACTGATTTAAAGAAAAAGTTATTCGATGTGGCTCTGAGTGTTAGTTTCATAAAAAACATGTGCTTTACTGTAGATGAGAGGTGTGGCTCGCCAGCTGCTGCTTTGCAACCCTAACCCTACTAACTTTGATTACTTATTAGCAAGTATAAACTGGCCAAATGAACACAACGTTGATAACAGTTCAATGTAAAAAAACAGTATGCATGATGTTCAGTAAACGACCAGTCAAAATCGAAGGATCCAACGTGTTTTTAAACGGAGCAGAAATAGAACTTGTCCCCCACTTCAAGTATCTTGGAGTCATACTGGACTCAAACTTGGCTTTTAAGAAACATATCAAGAAAGTATCCATTACTATTAAATTCAACTTGCAAAATGTTAAACAAATCTTTCTTAACTGTCAATGCTGCAAAGTCAGACCTCCACTGTATGATTCTATCCAGCATTGAATACTGTTTGACAAACTGGTCGTTTGCTTGTGCCACAAACCTGAAACCCATAGAACAGCTGTACAAGAGAGCTATCAAGGTGTTTGACAGAAAGCCACATTCATACCACCACTGCACCATCCTTGAAAAACACAATTTATTGAGCTTTGACAATTTTAAGTCTTTTAAAAGTATGTGCTTTATTTATAAATGTTTACCTGGACTGCCCCCCCCCCCTCCCTTAGGGGAATTCATCCACAAAAACACACTGGACGCTGCACTAGGTCAGAAACCAGAGGAGACTGTGAGGTCCACCGCAGACGGACCACTTTTGGACAAAATGTCCTCTCCGTTAAAGGCAGCTCATTGTGGAATAGCCTCCAAACTGAGATACGGGGTTGTCCCACTCTCAATAGCTTCAAAGGTCAACTCAAAGAATGGTTGACAATAATCACCGCTAAATGCACTTTAACACAGGGGCATCTCCTCTTGCACTTTAGGTAGCACTTGTATCTTCTCTTGCACTTGATATGTTGTTGCTGCTACATTGTATTACCATGTCATAAATACTTGTGTATGCTGCTCTTGCTCTTTTGCACCTTTTGCATATCATGTATTTTGTTTTTGCTATGTTTGTAAAATGTAAACTTCTTCAATGTTTTATGTGAGCGACTGCGGATGGAAATTAGCTCAAAGCTAAATCTGGCACTGTTACGCTTGACACATTTGAATGTTTTAAGTGTTCATTACTGTGCATTGTCCCAATGCCCAATGTCCCAAATAAACGATTAAATGAAAATAAATAAACTACTGAATCACTTTACAGAACATACATATAATAGGGGCTATGTATTATTATTTTGAATGCAACATATTAACGTTGGTTCATACATGCCAACTTAGTTATTGTTGGGGTCAATTTAAAATGTAATCCATTATTATTGCATATGTTTTAAGTCACCCTGCATTTAAAGGATTACCTACATCTGTTCTTATCCATAGAGGATGGAAGATAATGGTAATCATGTAGGATTTTTGCAGTATTACTCATATTAAACCACAGAGGACGAGGAGCAGGAAGTGAGGCATTTATAAAAAATAAAGGTTAATTCGGTCCGTAAAGAAGCATTAGCATGTGGACGGAGGCAAATGGAAAAAAAGATGTCGGTGAGGTCGGAGCACTTTACTGCTTCACCTTGAATGAGTCATCGCTCAGATACAAGTCAAAGTGTTTTATGAATGGAAGTGACTCAAGGCTCGTGGAGGGGGGGGGGGGGGGAATGACATGAAATGCAGCTCCTATAGCAGGCATCAGAGGAGGAGGAGCAGCAAACAGAAAGAGGACATGTACAGTAACATGCAGGTTAAACCCCCTGCTCTCGTGTGGTCAGTCATGGAGGGTCATACACGCTTTGATGCTCAGAGGTACTCCTGTACACTAAAGCAATGGCCAGGGTTTATTACCCGATAAAAAGTGTTTTCCACTGAACTCAGATCAGCAGAAACACCATTCAACTGTCTGGAAGCAGAGATGATGGAGGTTCCCACTAACCCCGGGATGAAGACAGGAAACATCTCTGGTTGAATTCATCTCCACTGAATAAAGGAAGGATGGTAAAACTAAAGCTATAGAAACACGGCCACTTTCTGTAAGTGCATTCAAAGATTAATATGACTTTGAACTAAGGTAAAGTAATAGGGTTGTTTTATGGATGAGCCATTTAACTGTCGCGTTGATGTACCGTGTTTATCTACTGAGTTTGTACATGACTGATTTCCTATTGTGGAAGTGTTATAAAGTGGGTTTTTCTTTTTCTAGTTTTCGGGCACATGTGACAAATGTTTTTTCTTGTGGTATATTTTCGGAAAAAAACTGTAATCCAAATACTAAATATCGCACAAGAACATGGCTATTCTGGAGAAAACACTAAAAACAAAGTCATTTAAAAACAAAAAAATCTTAATTAGTATTTTTTTGTAAAGAGTACTTTTACTTTCAATACTTGAAAGACATTTTCCTGATACAATTCTCAGTGCAGGACTTTTACTTGTATTGGAGTACTTTTATAGTGTAGTATCAGTACTTTTACTCAATGATTTGAATACGACCTACACAACTTCATTTAAGTAATACTTTTGTTGACAAAATAAAAACACCAAAAAAAGAAAGATTGTGTCATAAGTTTACAGTTTAAACTATACATATTTTATTCTGACTTTGAAATTGAAATGTTAGGGTTTTAAGTTAACAGAAAATGCAGTATTACCCGGAAGTATTTTTTAACATAAAATCCATTGAAATGTAAGACACAGCTTGACAGGCGAGATTTGGACAGAAACAGCTGAAGCAGAAATTGCATTTAATACTCTTTTATTCATCATTTCCTCTTCAAACACATTTCCTGATGTACATTTCCATTCAAAAGGAAAAACTGAAGTGAGGTAAAAGTCCTGAAAAATGAAATAGTATAATGGTTGTAACCATCAACTCGTCGTCACAATCACGAAGCTGACAAAAGCTCTTTTGCATTAACTATTTCAAAAATATATAGTGCGACAAATTTCTTCCCACTTTTTTTTTTTTTTACTTTTATAGCTACTTCTTCATACACACATGCAGACAAGCACACACACACACCTCCACGCATTAACGTAAACACAAATCTGCTGCAGTAATATTCACAACACTTCATAAAGGAAGTGTAAGAAAGTCTCCATCACATTCCTATGGTGTAAGACTTTAGACACACAGAACCACTACACATACAACCCACAGCTTTCTCTGCACCCCCCAGCGCAAAAAACACATCGACAGGCGTAATAAATAAATACACGCTGTACTAATAAACAAAGCCCCAAACAAGTGGGACAATCAGAGGCGGGGGGGGGGGGGGGAGGCAGAGGATTCATACGTAGTTTACAGCAGAAAATAGAAGGTGTGCGAACAAAAAAAGGGGGAAATAATCCACCCTCTTTTTTCTCCACATCGTCCTTGACAAAAAGTTCACACACAGACACATCCACCCTGATGAAGGAAATGATTCAACGCGAGCTGCTGCACCCCCGCTCTCCTCTAGTGGGGGAGGGGGGGGAAGGTAAAGCTTTCATTAAACAGGCACACATTTTTTAGTCATCAGAAAAACGCACGAGTATTTACATTCCAGGCTGCGTTCACCATCGATTGTCTAGAAAACGCACGTTGCATTTTCTTTGACATCGCTCAAACTGATTATAGTGAGCGATGTCAACAAAAAGCCCCCAAAAAGGGACCACTCGTCGCTCAGACAGACTTTAACCTGCCGCGTGTGGCTCCGAGCTTTAATCTATCATCTCTCAGAGGGGATACACAAACTGGGGAATGATTGAGATTACGTGATGCAAAGACGGGGTTTTTTAAAGCACCAAATCAATGTTTTTTGGCTTTGAAACAAGTCACAGATTATGTTAAGAGTGTGGTGATGAATCCAGCTGTTGGCACTAAACAAAGAGGCGACGACCCGCTGAGAGATAAGAACAAAAGCCAACGCTGAACGCTAAAGTCTGCTACCTCAACTTTCAGGCATGATCTACTCTAACTTGCTGGCACAATTATCACAGAGAAGAAGACACGCATTAAGTGTTAGAAGGGGATGCCTCAATATGTAAGGCAGATGAAACCTATTCACCCTTCCAAAATAAAAAGGGACAAAACAAAGCCCTCAAAAACACATGATATGTCCCTGAGAACCAGCTCAACTCCATCCAGCAAATCCACCACATTAGCTTATTTACATTCCTCTCCGGTGGCTGGAGTAAAACAAGGCCTCTATAAAGTGCTTCTGTCAGTGAGGGTCTCTGCTGGGGGACCTCCAGCTGCTGGGCCAAAAGTCTGGCTCAGTGCACTTCAGGTATTGCTCTGGTTTGGATAGGAACACAAGACAAGTTGCATCAGGGCCGGTGGAGCTACAGTTGATCGGCAGGGTGTAGAAATATAATGCCCGTTTGGAAAATCAAAACATTTGATTTAAAAAAAAGGCATTCAGGCACGACTGAGGTCAACATGGCTGCCAGTGACAACAAGGCCCACACTGGTAGGAAAGACAGAGAAACACTGACAGGAATGACTAGACGGATGGCTTTCAAGGAAGATAATGGTTTGGGACTGAAACAACAAAAACTCAACCCATAATTAATGTCCCAACTGGAATAGGATGTAATCTCTTGTAATCAAAGATGTTGTCGTGGATCCTCCACATCGCACACGGCTTAGAACAATGCTTTCCCTCCTTACAAATAACCTAACTCACTCTCCAAAGACTCAAAGGCACTTGAGCGCTGCAGTTGCTGGTTGTAACTCGGACAATGTGTGGCCCCTGACTTGTTGTTAAAAAAGACTATGGCAGGTCACCTACCAAAGTTCAGCAGCAGAGCGTGCCCTGACCCGGGTTGTGACCTGAGGGGGGGGGGGGGGGGGCGAGCTGACCGCCCTCTCAACAATTCATCTCACCGGCCAGGAGTCGTGCGCCAGCCAGATAAGAGGCGCTGCTGGTTATCTGTGGAACGAGCAGCAGAAAGGCAGGAGGGGAGCTTCTGGGAAACAGCAGCTGTCTCTTACATAAGAGCAGCAGCTCTCCCTCGCTCCAGCCTGGATGCTGTAGTAGCAGGAAAGTGAAGAGGAGATACCACATGTGAAAGTTACAGCTAATCTGCTAGCCGCACCGCAAGAGCTCATAATTAACCGTCTATAACAAGCTTGGCTAGAAATAGTAATTCATAAGTTTGAGGACCTGCACCTCCGTCACATTTGTCAGGGAGGGGGGGGCCGGTAGTAGCTTCCAGGATTCCTCAAACTCCCAAAGGGGAGAGGAATCCCACTGGCAGACGTGAGCATTTCTCTCTCGACATACCGGCTGCACTCTGCGCTCCCATGACCACAAAAGGGGTTCAAACACTGCGTGGTAAAGAGAGGACAGGAAGTGACTCAGCGCCCCACACATGTAAGGTGGCAGAGCACCGAAGATATCACCCCCAGGGGAAAAAAGAAAAAGAGGATAATTATAGTTTGAGAGCCAGTCAGTGAGCTGCGTCAGAGGAGGATCCCGTTTCAGGTTCGCGGTCGAGCCTGCGATGGTTTTGAGGGACGCCATGTGCTGCTCCTTTTTAGGGAAGGGTCTCCCAGCCGGCCTCGCTCCAGGCAGCGAGGCCGGCCTCCCGTCAGAGAGCTTCCCACAATGGCCATAAGACTGACATCTGGAGGTCACTGGTGAGGCTTTGGAAGAGACTTAAAAACACAGAGGAACATAAACTCCTCAGACACACAGGAGCCATCTTTCTGAGGCCCGAGCTGTCCCACTCGGAGCCCGTCTCGACTGCAAAGTACAGGTCTGAGTAAACTGGATACGGGGGGGGGAGGAGTGGAGCTCGTCCTACACTGAAATTCACAGTGGAAAATAAAAATATACACATTTTTTTTGCATCTCCTGCACTGTTTACAAATCACAGGCACTGTCGGCGTATCAGGGAGACTACAAATGTATGCAAGAGATATTTACATGTCTAAATGAATTAAAAATAAATGGACTCCGCTCGCTTCCCTCTTCATATCTGATGTGAACAAAGTTATTAGTGTAACACCTTTTTTCCCCTCCCCAGTGAATCAAACATATTTATAACACTGGTGCTCTGATTTTTTTGGGGCTCGTCACCTATTATATATATATATATATATATATATATATATATATATATATCCCCTACCCCAATAATACTATTTTTAAATATTTTACATTTTTTTCTGCCTTTCACATTTGTATCATTTGTTTTACTAAATCACAGGAGAAAAATACATTTTAGGCTATAACATCATTTTCATCCCTTTTTCAAAAACATAGCCAATACTTAAATGATTGGGGCGTACATCTGGAGGTTAAGGCACAAAACATGAAAAAAGAAAAAAAGAAAGTCTAAACACTTAAAAATATCACTTTCTATTCAATGACCTAGACAACTCTGAAGATGAGGAATGAGAAAGTATTCCAAAAACAAAGCAAACACCTGTCCACTTAAATATAATTGTGCCTTGAGAGGAACTTTGTATTTATTGCCTCAATATTTTTTTTTCGGTTTTTTTAAGTCCTTCTCTTGTCTCCCTCTTTTACGTCCGTCCACTTTATGTCAGTTACATGGCAGCCATGTTGGAATGTTCTGGTTAGCCACATAGTAGTTGCTGAAGTTGTGGTCTCGGACGTAGGGCGCCGGCTGATAGTAGCAGGTGACGCAGGACGCGTCAGGGATAGCGTTCTGCTCAGCCAGCACTCTGAAGGCCATCAGCGAGATGAGGTGCAGCGTCTGCCTCCGCTCGTGCCCCATGAGGCACACCGTGCTCTCGTTGACGACGCGCCGCAGGATCATGAGGTAGTCGTACTTGCTCTTCTCCTCGCCCACAAAGTGGCTCTGCAGGTAGGCCTCCACCTTGCGCTGCTGCTCACCAATGTCAGGGAAGTCAATGAAGAAGCGGGAGCACATGTAGCGCTCCAGGGCCTTGAACTCCTCCTCGCTGGCAGGACGGAAGTCCCTCACCAGCAGATTGCAGTATTTCAGCAGGCCGCCGCCGCGGATCTCCTCGGGCCGCTTGGTGGCGATGAGTTTGTCCCGCAGGTGGCCCAGCGCCAGGCTGAAGTCCCCGTACACACTCTCCCCGCTCACTGTGGGGTGGAAAGCCTGAGACATGGGCGTCTGTGCCAGCTCGTAGTAGGAGAGCATGGAGTCCAGCACGATCTGAAAGGAGTCCACACTGAACTCAAACTGCCGGCGTATCGAGTCTACAAACTTCAGCTCCACATTGCGCCCGTTGTTGTTGGAAAGGGAGATCAGACTCCAGCGGTCCTGCTCTGTGTTGACTTTCACCAGCTTCTGCACGTAAGCCTCTTTGAGAGTCATGGATGTGATTTTCTCCTTGTTTACACCCTCAGGCAGAAAGTCCAGCAGGGTTCCCAGCACCACGTCCTTAATGAGCCTGTACTCTGACTCGTGCGGCATGTCCACCCTGAAGATAACGTCCAGGTCCTTGTAGCTCCAGCCAACATCCTGCACCAGCACGTGGCTGGCTGTGGAGCCGTTGAGCCGGACGTCCTTCACTCGGATGCCCCTGAGCTCCAGGCGGGAGCGCACCCGGGCCACGATGTCCTTCAGCCGCACTTCGAGGGTGGGGAAGTTCCCCCGTCCGTGGACGGGCACAACCTCCGTCAGAACTTCATTCAGCCGGCTCACCTGCTCCCAGGTCAGCACACTGACGGAACAACTCTTTGATTCCTCCTTGTTATCCATCTTCTCACAAAGTTCAGATTAACTGGGGAGGCAGGAGAGAAAACAGATGTTAGTTGTGACTTTTAAACAGGACATAAACCAAGCAAAATACACAATCACTATTCTAAAATCATTTTCTTTGAACATGGGAAATGTATTAAATATATAATCGATACATTTATGTATTTTAGTGAAGCATGTTGTTCACCTACAGCAGACATTACAAAAAAATACAAGTAATAAAAACCGTAAATATTATTCCACAGTAGAAATATATACATCTACATGCATACAATATAAATACACGCTAGAATAGATCAAACTACTTCAATTAAAATGTATATAAAGAATGCTGTATACATTAAACAATAAGTGAATAAATCAAAATATAACTTCCGGCTTCACTGTTGAATTATTGTCACTAAACAGTAGCAGCATCATGACCCATTCAGCACGAGCACAGCTGAATGTGAGCACGAGACAACCTGCTCGCTCACTCTGACACACACACACTGGAGGACTGAGCGCGTGAGGCTTCTAGAACACCGCGAGCCTGGCTTTTATTCCAGAACTGCCGAGAGACAAACACACCAACTAGATTTAAAGTAAATAGACAACTAAAGCCAGGGTTTTCAAAAAATAACAACCCCAATAACAGAGATGGGAGAAGTACTCAGATCGTGTACTTAACAAAAAAGTATCAGAGTGAAGGAACACTCAGTTACAAGTAAAAGTCATGCTCTCAAAATGTTACTCAAGTAAAAGTATTAAGGCATTAGCATAAAAGGACTCACCTGTTTTGATTATAATTATGGATGCATTTATGCGTTTATCAAAGCTGGGAAACGTGGAGCTAGTTTTAATCACTTTGTATACTGCAGGGTAGCTTGTGAATGTTACTACAGGTTTAACTCTTATTCAAGTGTTAAAAATACAGCACTGTCCAATATACCAGTAATCGTGTCACACGTTGTCAAAAACATCATAATTTGTTCCAGCTGATTTATCAATTGGGCCGTGACGAGTGCAGCATTTCAGTTTTACGTAAACCGCTAACGTTTCCATGGTTGCTAACGGCTGTCCGCTACAGTCACTTTTTAAACCATGAATGTGTTTTAAACTAACGGTAACTCTTTTTGCCATAACGATAAGTAGGACGAGTGAAGTTTGACTCAATATGAAAACATATGGCGACGAATCTGAGAATCTAGCAAAGTCACGTTTAACATAAGCACTGGAATAATGAAGAAAACTAAAAAAAAGTACTTAATACGTTAAAATATCCCAACTAACATCACGTTTCGAATAATGCCTACGACTGGTTACACTTTTAAAAAGCGAATGTCATGTCACATGTCTATCCTAACATGTGGAGTTAAAACATGGCTTCTTTCTGGACATAATCACACAAATGAACTGTAAAAGTAGTACATACATTTTCAAAAGCGTCCTCTGAAAAGCACTCGGTCAGAAAAAGAAGATGTTAACTTGGATTTCGTGCAGACACCTCCTCATAATCCACTTGCTGGGAGACAAACACATGCGGCGGTGCTGCAGAACAGTCTCTATTTGAACCATCTGCAGTAAGACACGCCCGCTTTATAAAGCCGAAGCACGACCCACTGAAACAAATGCACCGCCGTAGCATAACACAGTCCCCTCTATTTATATGTAGCGTGACTTTTACAAATTAAAAGTTCACTATTAAAATAGTAAATGTAATATGCTATAACTTATATGTTTTAAATTTAACATAAAACACACATGTTTGTATATTTACCCAAAGAATAGTCCAACTCTCATCATCAGCAAGTCACACAGGCGTGAAATCGTTGAGTTTGATTGTAGCAATGCGCCGAACGAAGCATCTGATTGGTCGACAAGGTTTTTGCGTTGCCAAGTAACCAGGGTCGTCTCCATTCAGCCGGCGTTCTCTGACGTTTCATTTGAAAATCAGCTGTTTTTGTTGACAATTACACTGGTCTATTTTAACTTTAAATAATATTACATTCTACTCTGTTATTATTTGTATATGAATAACGATTTGAAAAACACTCCCACACACAGAAGTTAACCCAAGACAAATACTGCATAATATAAAGCCTTGAATTATTGTAAACTTATTGATTATGTGTGGTACCTTTCACACACACACACACACACACACACACACACACACACACACACACACACACACACACACACACACACACACACACACACACACACACACACACACACACACACACACACACACACACGCACACACACACACACACACACACACATGAATATTACAAATTAAAATATGTTGTAATAATCTCGTTATTGAATAATTTGTTCTATTGTTTATTATAACTAATAGCCTACAAGTAAAACATATCTTTTTAATTTATTTTCCTGAATTCATATATACATTTTGTCAAGTCTACACACTTATTCAAACGTTTTTATTAATTAAAATAGAAAAAAATAACCAAAATAAAAAATACACATACAAATACATATATATTAATATAAACACATATACCCAATATTATATAACATAGTATGTTTTCTCAAGAAACAACCAGCTGTTGCTGAAAAGCTGAGGAAAAAGAAATCTGACTAGTCTTTTTACGTCACTAAAAATAATTCAGTCCCATATGTTAGGTGAAGGCCACACTAACAGGTGGGACCCTCCCTCAGATCTCTATACCTAATTTCCAGGGAACACATACAAACATTACTGTGTAGATCTTGCTCAGAGATTGCACACACTCATTTAACCAGCATTGACAAACAGCACAGCTGCATTGGAGAGCCCCCCTGTGACATAACAAATAGTTTCTCCCTCCCTGCACCAGACATTATTCTGAATGACGCAGGGAAACCACAAGCATGTGTGGTGATTCTTTGGAAAATAAAACAAAGGTATAAACCACAGGATGCTCCTGCCACAATCTGAGATTGGGGTTTTATTTTTGAAACAGGAAACTTGATGATGACGGCTTAAAGGGAAAGTTCCGATTTTCTGTAGTGCAGTTTTGTGGGGTATTGTTTCAGTAAAGCAATGCACATGCTATATAAAACATATTGTAGTCACCTTGAAGTAGCTGATTTATCACTGTTTTAATTCAGGTAAGTCATTGTTATTATTTGTGTTTTAAGTTCAGATTTACCAAAGTAATTAATCACAGCAGTGAACATCATAAGACATGGACATTTAAATTAAGCACTTTTATCCAAATGTACTCCCCTATTCAAGTGTGTGACCCAGTTTCAAAGTCAAAGTCAACTTCATTGTCAATCTTCCAGTTTGTGTGTACAGACAGAGAGATCGAAATACCGTTTCCCACAATCCCGAATCCAAAACAAAAGTATATAAAAATATGTGTGCAAATATGTATATATATATATGTATAAATACATATATATATATAAATATATATATGTATATTTCTAGATATCCTGACCCTCCCCTTCGCATGACAAGTGGACAAGTCACATCACAATATACATTTGGCTGCAAATCTGTGTATTGCAAATATTCTCCACTATTGTCTTCAGGCACATATTCAAACATTCCTGTGTAGACCTTGCACAGAGATTGCACACACACATTGTGTGTTATTTTGGACAAATAATTGGAAAACATTTGCAGAGGATCAGCTGGTTCTTTATTCCTGCAGTGTGTGTATACATTTGGTTAATTTGCCCCCTAACGAACAGAGTTACAAATCCGTTGAGCATCATCTCAAGCAGGTTTAGTTTTGATGGTGAGGGTCAGCATCTTTTATAAAGCTATACTGCACTGTTAGTGTACAGTTTTATTATTATTGTGCTGCTGTGTTTATTGTATTTGTGTAACTCTGCCACAACAATTTCCTTCGGGATGAATAAAGTCCTATTTTATCTTATCTTATCTTATCTTATGTGACTGGCTGCAAATGCTGAATTGAGTTTCCTGCTTGACTGGAAACACACACACACACACACACACACACACACCCACACACACACACACACACACACACACACACACACACACACACACACATACCAATCAATATGTGTCAGTGAAAGGGAGAGTTGGGGGTTACAAGGAAGTGATGCGTGATGCAGATTCTCGCAAAAGACATTTATCCCTTTCTCTGTGTGTGTGTGTGTGTGTGTGTGTGTGTGTGTGTGTGTGTGTGTGTGTGTGTGTGTGTGTGTGTGTGGTATGTGTGGTAGCATTACTATACTTGTGGGGACCTAAATCTGTTTACACAGTCACGTGTGGGGACTCGCCTCCCTTATGGGGACACATTGGAGGTCCCCATGAGGGGAATCATTCATTTTAGGGTGAAGACTTGGTTAGGTTTAGGATTAGGGGTAAGGGTAAGGTTAAGGTTAAGGGTAAGGGTTAGGCATGTGTTGGTTATGGTTAAGGTTAGGATAAGTCTCCAGGAAATGCATGTAAGTCAATGTAATGTCCCCTGAAGTGATGTATACATGGTGTGTGTGTGCGTGTGTGTGTGTGTGTGTGTGTGTGTGTGTGTGTGTGTGTGTGTGTGTGTGTGTGTGTGTGTGTGTGTGTGTGTGTGTGAGTGTGTGTGTGTGTGTGTGTGTGTGTGTGTGGATGTTGGGGGGGAGTGGGTAGTACATCTGTGTCAGTGAGTCAGCAACAGATTTGATAGTAAAACCAACATAGCAGGCGGGTGGATTCCCTTTCTATGTGTCTCTGCGTCATACTTTCTTTAAACTGAAATGCACTGAGGGAACATACAGAATAAGCACTGCAGTGCTTATTCTGCCAATGTGACAAACTGATATAGAAACAAAAAGGGTTATTGAATATGCATGCAAGTGTTCTCATTAAAGAAAGTCTCAGCTCAAGAGGAAGGGGGTTTACTTTATGGCAGTAACTCTTTGTGATACAGGAGGATGAGACGTTTTTTAAAGATCAATCTCTCCAATCACAGGCCTTTCCCAACTGAAAAGTTAGATTTGCGGTAAAATGAACTATGAGGCAAACAATAAATACTTTTCTCATGAAATACTCCTTACATTTCTCAAAAAATCACAAAGACTTCCTACAATGACATCTTCAGTCGTCCATAAATTGAAGATTCTCAGTTTACACGTATTTAAAACAAAGAAAAGCTGCATATCATTACATAAAGTAGGAAAAAGATGAAAACAGAAAATGTCTGACCACCAAATCCTCAGGGTCGATATGTTTGGCCAATTTTAAATCTGGCTTACATCTGGGTCAAAACTCTAGTAAGGAATCCCTACAATATGTTGAATTCTGTAAACTGTACTTGTAGAAACAAACCTAAACTATGTCCACAAGCTTCTCAAGCAACGAAACAAGCAGTACATTAATTAAAAGTGAATCATTTTAAATATTATCTTAGGCCTGTAAAAAACGCAGCTACGGCCCTGCATTAAACTGCGGAGTGGCGTTCACACAGACAACGGCTCACACAGCTGCAGAGAGGGAGCGAGCTGTCCCAGGCTCCCAGCACCTGAGGGTGGATCAGCTTCCCCTGGGAGCATTTCCCCTTCGTTTTGTTTTGACTAAAGACGAGAGCTTGAAACAAAAATATTAATAAAACGCTGCTGTGATGGCCAATCGATAGCGTTTAACAGACGGTCGCTGTTTGGGACGTACCTGCTGAAAAAAACAGCATAGACCAGCTTAAGATGGTTGCTGGTTTTAGCTGGTTTTAGCTGGTGGGGAATGGCAGAAAAAGGTTGAGAACCACTGGCCTACAGGAAGAAACGGCCCTGATGACATCCAGGCTGGACAATGCTGGGCTATGCTGGTTTAGCTGGCCAGGCTGATCTTGAACCAGCAAGACCAGCCTGGCCAGCTTGTCCAGCCTGGCCAGCTAAACCAGCATAGCCCAGCATGTACACTGAACAAAAATATAAACGCAACACTTTTGTTTTTGCTCCCATTTTTCATGAGATGAACTCAAAGATCTAAAACATTTTCTATATACACAAAATAACCATTTCTCTCAAATATTGTTCACAAATCTGAAAAAATCTGTGATAGTGAGCACTTCTTCTCACTATCAGGGTTAGGGTTAGGGTTAGGGTAATGTTGTGAATCGAGTGGCCTGTGTTCGTCGTCCATAACATACGCCTGCCCATACCATAACCCCACCACCACCATCTTGACATGATTTGGTCTTTTAGATGTTTGTCCTCCTGTATTTTCTTATTTCCTTATCTTTCTTTCAGGTGTAACATCTATGGATGTACATGACATAGACCTCCTCCCCATTTGCTGTCCTACTAGTCAACCCCAGTCTTTCCTAAATAGTGGTAAGTTGTTTTACAGTTCAGTGTACGTTACAGGGCCGTCCCTCCCTACAGGCCGATCATGCAGACTGCGTGGGGCCTCAGCCGCCTCACCTTAGCGGAGGGGGCCTCATCTTGTGGAGGGTGCCTCAACTGAGCCGAAAATGCGCTTATGCGGTGCAATTAGTGTGGCGCGGCACGGTTTCGCCGCTGCGAGGCTCCACTAGCACCCCCCCCCCCCCCTCATGTTGGCCAGGGACGGCCCCGGTACGATACTTTAGCAACTTA